CGGTGATGTCGCCTGTGTGTGAGTGCTTGGGAGTGCGAATGGGTGAATGGCCGAATAATGTGAAAGCACTTTGAGTGTGCTGTAAAAGCATAGAAAGGCGCTATACAAGTATAAGACCATTTACCATATAAAATGATCACATTAATGCAATGATCTGTGCTTTGCTATTATAACATCAGATAACACTTGTCAAATGTGTAAAACTAAAACTTCCATATGCCATTTAGTTTACAATTTCCTCATAATTATAAATGTGGACAGAAAACCTTCATACAGTGATGACACACTATAGTAATGGCATTGCGATATGATTTCACTGACCTTTTTCCTCCAGATATTTTGACTGATCAGAACAGGAAAAGCACATGTGGAGCTAATAACTTTAATTAACAGTGGCTCAGTTTCTGCAATTACTGCAGCACAATGCAATTTGTTAAATTATTAGTGACACCTGTGTTTGACAGTGTGCTGGGGAACAATGCTTTCAAATTAATTTCTTTGTTATTGTGGCCCCAATTTGAGAACCACTGCCCTCTAGTAAGTGCAGCAAGCTTGTATGCTAAGCTACTAGCTCCAATTAAAATGAAGCAGCACTGAGCTGGATGGCCTACATTTCCTCCATGTACATTCATGAATCCTGACCTCACTTTAAACTCTATTTCCTTAAGTTACACCTGTTAATCAGTCTTTACCTTCAGGTCAGAGCTCAGCAGCTGAACCACCAGCTGAGAGACCAGCATCAGGGCAGCACAGTGGAGCTCCACACTGGAACACAAAATCAAAATCAAACACCATCAGTTTTCAAATGCTGTATGACCTTGGTTGACTTTTTAAAAATGTTCTTTTTACTGTCCATCCTACATGAAGGATGCTGTTAATTTTGGGGTTTCTTACTGAACTAAGAATGTATAAGGATAAACGGTCCCAGACATTGTACAAACTGTAAATCCATTTCAGGCAAAATTGTCATTTTTATAAAAGTCACCATTTTTATTTTAGTGGATCTTAAATAATCTCTGCTTCACTCTTCCCTCCAATGCAATGAAGATGAACATAATTTAGGGGTCTCAAACTCACTGCCCACGGGACAATATTTTGTGGCCCCCACTTGATATCAAAGTTTAGCGATAATGCGGCCCGCGCGTTTTTCTCACACACACCTGCTTGAGTCGTTACCCTGGGCGTTTTATATTTTTTGTCACCTGTGGGTTACCATAGCTCAGGATCGTGACAGCAACACAAATTAACAACGTTAGTCACTTGAAATGTGATTCGGGAGTGTCACCGAGTGGAGGGAAAAGATATCCTGTCACCCAGTGCAAATACGTTTTTTTTTGTCACCCAGCCCCAGTCATGTCTTTCTTAAAACCTGCTGTGAAGAGAAAGGTTGGCGATGAGCACAGACAATTTCAGGAGAGGTGGGAGGCAGAATATTTTTTTGCTGAGCACAGGGGCATGCGGATGTGTCTTATATGCACAGAGAATGTTGTGGTGCACAAGGAGTACAACATCAAACGTCATTATTCAACTAGACATGCTGAGAAGTATGCAAAATACCAGGGAGATGAGAGAGAGGACCGTGTCGCCAAACTTAAAACATGTCTACTGAGGCAATAAGATTTTTTCAAGAAAGCAAGCAAAGAGAGTGATGCGGCAGTCGAAGCCAGCTACGTAGTGAGTGAGATGATTGCTAAGGCAGGAAAGCCATTTAAAGATGGGTCAGTTTAGCAACATCAGCCTCTCAGCCAACACAGTGGCAGAGCGCATTTCTGACCTGTCAGGTAACATTTACGATCAACTGTGTGAGAAATCTAAACATTTCCATACTCAGTCGCTCCTGATGAGAGCACAGATGTCACTGACACTGCGCAGCTCGCAATATATGTCTGTGGTGTTGATGACAATTTTGAAGCGACGGAGGAGTTGCTCACAGTGATTCCAATGCATGACCAGACCACCGCTCAGGAGATATTCTGCCAGCTGTGTGATGCCATTGCAGATGCCGGCTTACTATAGAAGACTTTTGCTGAAATAATAACCGACGGAGCGCCATCAATGACAGGGAGTAGAAATGGAGTCGTGGCACTTGTTCAAAGAAAATTGGAAGAAGAGGCTGTGGAAGAGGCCATTGCTCTGCACTGCATTATCCATCAGCAGGCCCTTTGCAGCAAATGCCTGAAGTTTGACAAGGTGATGTCTGACGTTGTGAAAGGCATCAACCATATCAGATCCAGGGGCTTAAAGCACCGGCAGTTCCGCGCCTTTTTAGAGGAAATAGCATCAGCATATGAGGATGTGCTGTCCTCCAGCATTCTCCACAAAACTTGTGTTATGGAAAACCCAGCTTTCTCAGACAAACCTCTGCCATTTCCCAGCATGCAAGGCACTCATGGATTTTGGCACACCATTCAGTGGTGAGAGGTATGCTGATGCCATTGTAAAGCTACAGGAAGAATTTGATTACAGGTTTGCAGATTTCAAGACACACAGAGCCACTTTTCAAATTTATGCTGACCCCTTCTCCTTCGAAGTGGAAGATTAACCAAACCAAATGTGGCTCAGCTGTGTAAGAGGAAGTGCTGCCAGGTTTCTGGCAGCAAGGAGTAGGAGGAAGTAAGAGAAGCCTATGTTCTGAAGAACCGTTCATGTTCTGAATTATTATTAGTAAAGATTGAGAAGATTAGATCAGTTGTACTTTTTTTGTGGAATACTTGATGCAGCCCAGCCTCACCCAGACTACTTCCAGCGGCCCCCAGGTAAGTTGAGTTTGAGACCCCTGGTCTAGACCCCAGTCATGTCTTTCTCAAAACCTGCCGTGAAGAGAAAGGTTGGCGATGAGCACAGACAATTTCAGGAGAAGTGGGAGACGGAATATTTTTTTGTTGAGCACAGGGGCATCCCGACGTGTCTTATACGCACAAGGAGTACAACATCAGACGTCATTACTCAACTAGACATGCTGAGGAGTATGCAAAATACCAGGGAGATGAGAGAGAGGACCGTGTCGCCAAATTTGAAACATGTCTGAGGCAACAAGAGTTTTTCAAGAAAGCAAGCAAAAGAGAGTGATTCGACAGTCAAAGCCAGCTACGTAGTGAGTGAGATGATTGGTAAGGCAGGAAAGCCATTTAAAGACACCAAGTTCATCAAAAAGTGCACGTTACAGGCTGCAAGTATAGTCTGTCTGGAAAAGAAGGGTCAGATTAGCAACATCAGCCTCTCAGCCAACACAGTGGCAGAGTGCATTTCTGACCTGTCAGGTAACATTTATGATCAACTGTGTGAGAAAGCTAAACATTTCCATGCATATTCAGTCGCTCTTGATGAGAGCACACATGTCACTGACACTGCGCAGCTCGCAATATATGTCCATGGTGTTGATGACGATTTTGAAGTGATGGAGGAGTTGCTCACAGTGATTCCAATGCATGGCCAGACCACCGCTCAGGAGATATTCCGCCAGCTGTGTGATGCCATTGCAGATGCTGGCTTACTATGGAAGAGTTTTGCTGGAATAATAACCGACAGAGCACCATCAATGACAGGGAGGAGAAATGGAGTCGTGGCACTTGTTCAAAGAAAATTGGAAGAAGAGGCTATGGAAGAGGCCATTGCTCTGCACTGCATTATCCATCAGCAGGCCCTTTGCAGCAAATGCCTGAAGTTTGACAATGTGATGTCTGACGTTGTGAAATGCATCAACCATATCAGATCCAGATTTTTGTAATATTTAGGTGAACCTACCCTTTAATTTGCAGCAATAGTACATTGAGAGGGTCTGAAAATGGTAACAAGCTCCTCAGGCCTTTCTCTGGAAATCAGTACAAACACAAGTCTCCAAGCGGCATCATCTACACACAGAACTGTATTGATTTACAATGCACAAAAGAAGTGTGCTGGTACTCACCACTACATCATGGATCACAATAGCCTGAGTGCCATTCAATCATATGGCAGACAAGGGCAGCCGGCAACCCAATCTCATCCCTCTCCAGCTCTAATCATAACCCTGGGGTCACTCCAATGGGAAAGTGGATCCCTGAGCCCAGAGATTGTGGCCAGGAAAAGGCTTTACAGGGCTAAAAGCCTTTGTAATCCAATCCTCATTCAAGCCTGTATTCTCTTGTCGGGGTGAGAAAAGTACAGCAGTGGCTTGTCAAGGAAGGTATGTGTGTGTATGTCAAATCAGGTCTAGAGGGTTTACAGTACACACACACAAACACTGGAGTAGTATGTGCCAAATTATTTTGTGGCAAGAGTATGATTCATGAATGTGTAAGCTTTTACAAAAATAATGACTTGAGCCTGACAAATGAGAATAATCCACTGCATATTGTCAATATGGTTTCAGGTCGAAAAGATCGACATCCTTGGCCATTACTGACCTGATGGAGGACATTACAAGTGCTATGGATGAGAAAAAATATACGATGGGGATATTTATTGACCTAAAAAAAGCTTTTGATACAATTAATCATGAACTATTAATGGATAAGTT